ATTTATAATAACATAGATTGTACACTATGCTCTAATAGTATCAATAACAAAATTTGAAAACAACCTCTTTCACAAATATCAGAATTACTATGCATAAATTATACAACATTCAAAACAAAGAATATGTTGAGTCAAACAAATAGTGAGAAAACATTGCTCAAAACTGTAAAAGAAAAAAAATTGGGATTTTGCTTTAATTAACAGCAATATATGGCTCTTTCAAGATTAAACTTTATTTTAATCTATCCAATAAAATACAAATTAAGATAAAAAAAATTAGTATAATAATTGCTACATAAAATTAATAGTACTAAAGTAATAAAGTCAAAAACCAAAAATGATGATTGGTGATAATAGTAATGTAGAGAATTAAATTAATACAAAATACTGACATATATTTATAGCTGCTGTGCTTGCTGTGGTAATCATTAACTCTTAAAGATAACCAACATGATAATATTTAGAATACTATCAAGAATAAATAACTATACAATATAAATAAAATTAACAAACAAAATAATATTTAAGCTTTAGGATGACTATAAAATGTTAATCTATACAAAAATACAATTCTAGAAATAATTTTAATATCATATATCAAAATTATAAATTCATTAAGTGTATAATTTGCTTCAGTAATTTAAGGAAATGCTGTTGAATTTTCCTAAGTGTTGTATGAAAAAAATCACAGTGAAATGCATTTCTTTATAAACATTTGACCAAGACAGTTAATTTCAAATAGGACATTCTTTCAAAAACAATTTTTAAAAAACTTGGATAAAACATTTACAATATATAATTTTAGAATCTAATTGACTTAATATTACAAAAATTTATAAAACTTATAAAGATAAATTGTATATAATAATGCATACTGATTAACATAAATAATCTATCATAGTTGTTTATACAAATATAAATATATATGTGCATAAAAATATCTGTACATAAAATTTATGAAAGAGTAATGTTAAAATATTCTTGTGCTGAAACATGCAAATATGAATTTGAAAACTTTCACATCTTAGCAAGAAATTCCTTTCTAATTAAAAATTAATAAAACAAACTAAAACAAGCAGATTCAGTCATGCACCTGTGTTGATTCCAAGAAAACAGAAAATAATTCTTGTATGAAAAGAATGAGTTTTAATGGTAAACAGAAGATGAAAACTTTGATGTGTTTTATGACAATTTAATAGTTTTACAATGTTTGAATTCAAAACATAGGTGCACATAAGTGACAAGTTCAGAATAAATAATATATATATATATATATATATATATATATATATATATATATATCATATCAATAGGGCTGACATGAAAATCAGCCTAAAATTATCCCCTATCAAAATCCATATAGAATATACTTTATTTAGAACCATGGTTCCCAATGTGGTACATACACCACAAAGTGTGTGTGTGTGTGTGTTTAATATGATTTTTAAGGGGGTCAATTCAAGAATGACTTATTAACAGTGAATGTATGTGTAATTTTGTTATGTACTATATATATATATATATATATATATATATATATATATATATATATATATTTATTAGTAACAGTATTTTTATAAATATTGTAAAATTATAAAATTAAATTTATGAACCAATGATTTAATCCACTAGGCTATTATATGCAGGAAAGTTTTGTAAAATGGGTCTTTTAGAATAACACTAAAAAAAAGTAATAATATTGATAAGAAAAAAAAGTAGAATGATTAAAGAAAGCGTTTCTATTGAAAATGAACTTAGTTTTTTGTTTTCTTTTTTTGTATTCATTAACAGCTTTCCAGTATAGTCATATTTCAGGTTTTACGAGAACTATAAATTTTCATTTAGAGTCTGATTATCAATAAATGTTAAGCAAACTGACTTTAATTAATTATTGTAAATTTCTCATTGTAACTTATCATACAAATAAGTTTTTTATAGTAATGACTACCCAGAAAATATTGTACAACAATCTCTGCATAATCATTTGCAGTATGTTTTTGGTCTTAATTGATTATTCCTTGATAATCTCAACATATGTGCAATTTAGCAATAAAAACAAAGTATTAAAATCTTCTACAGACTAATATTGTAAAATTGTATATGACTAAGCATCTGAGAAATTACCCATTTATAGAAAGATCATTTTAAATGAATCAAGTAATTGATGCTTTTAAATTAACTGCAAAATTCAACTAGAACACATTTGCTTAAATTAACTTTAATGATTAATCTCTAATTGAAAACAACAAAAATCAGTGATATTATGAAAACTGGTGTTTAAAAAGAAAAACAATTCTGCTTCAAATCCAAGAAGGTATTTTTAAAAAGATTAGGCAATATTAAAATGTAATTTTTGCAAAGAAAACCATTACTTTTTAATACATTAAAATCATTTTTAACATAGGATTAATTTTTTTTTTTTATGTTTTTATTTAATGTTACCAATTTCATGTCCATTCCTACATGTCAATTATAAACTGATTTGATTTTGGTACACTGTAGCAATTTATGAGTTGCTGATATTCACTTTTTATTATTTTTGACGTATACTTTGGCCAACATCAGCATCAGCAGTCAAAATGGCATAAGCAATTTGACTGAATTTTAATTTTATCACCTTCAAGACTAAACAAACAAATCATATATGAGACAAAGGTCAAATATTTTATGTAATGGTAATGATCACAATATATGAACATAAAACAAAGTGGAAAAACTAAACATTGTAAAATCCTCAGGATTCCATTCTGCATGGATATAAAGACTAAAAATTTTACTCAGGCACAAAATCTTATAAGTAAATATCAAATTTCTATCAACTTTGAAATCTAAATATTTTGTTTGAACTAATAAGCCAAGAAACAGAAACAGCATGGTAAAAATCAATCAAATTATAAACATCATAAATGTATGAATAATATGTTTTATAACAATAAAATGTCATTATTTACATTGTTCAGACTGTTGTCTTGATCTTTATTGCCATGTTCATGCTGTACACTGAACCCTTTATTTCATCCACTGGGGTAGATTGCTCTAGTTCCACGTGCCATGCCTCTTCTGGATGTCTCAGTTATCTTCCTTCAAGTTTTTGCTCACGACTGTTATAGCCAGGTACTAAACTCACAACTCTTTGAGTCAAATCACTGGATGTAACCAATGATTTATCAACTGGACCATGTGTCCTTGAATTTTTGGGACTTAGAAACTTAATGTCTCGCATACATTTTTTTTTTTTTACCAGAGTAATTGCAATTTTGTTGTTAGTATTTCTTTCCTCTAACACTATATTACTGGTTCCCATATTGTATTCATTTCTATACTTGGCCAGCTTAGGTGATTTTTGTGGCCTACCATATGTGCTGATTCCTTAAGTTTTCATATTTTCCAGTGATGTTCTCTGTCTATTATTTCAACCTCATTTCCCTTTTTCCTCCATATGTGGTCAGCTATGCTTGATTTTTCTATTTCCTCTCATGGTATAGCTTTACGACATTCTTGCAGTCTTACCTTAAGGGGGTAGCCTGTTTCACCTTTATATTTCTTAACACAGCTGCACGAGATTGTGCATACACAGTCTTTAGTCATAATTTTCCTTCCTTACCCAGAAGAGGTGTCTGCGAAGTGCCAAACCACTTTTGATGGTCGTTCTGATGTTACATAGGCCACAGATCTTTTGTATTTTCTCTGATAATCTCTTTACATAGAGTAGGCAGACTGAATAAAGATAAGGACAACAGTGCGAACAGTTTAAATAATGTAAATAATTACAATACCTCATCTCAGAAATATAAACAGATATTAAAATGTCAATATTCTTAAAAATGGACATCTCACCTTATAACAAGATGCAGTTTATTATTTAATGTTAGCAACATGCTATCAACTTAATTCATACAATAATTTCTTCAGTATTCATTACAAGTTAGACTAGTGATTTTTACATTAATAGAATCAAACTACACATTTTGTTATGTACTATTTCACATATTAAGATATCAGAAGTAGAGGAGATATCATAAGTACAAAATAAATTTATATTAGAGTTTAAATTTACATTATCCTACTTTTTACATAATAAACAACTTAAAAGAATGTTTATAAAACTGAAATACAAATAATTTTCATACTTTACACCATATAAACTTAAAGACTACAGTTGTGTCTAGAATCATTACTAAAAGAATTATAAAATTACCATTGTTCAATGCATCTGATATTTTTTGAAAATTGATACCTGAAGCATTATATATTTAATATGCAGTTGATATTTTCTGAAAATTGATATGTGAAACATTATATATTTAATCCATAAATTACAAAAAGTAAATTAGATTCTCTTCTCCATCTAAAATAATTTTTGATGGACTAACTGAATAAAGTCAGTTTAGAATATAGCACTATCATGTGCAATAACAATTAACTATCCAATTGAAATTGTAGATTAAAACAGGCATTGAATACAATTGGCAGTTCAAATTCTGAAAATTTAATATTATTTGTACACTGAAGATATCAGATGATTGCAGATCCTATTTAAAATAAGAATATAGTTAGGAAATTCTTTAATGCTGAGGATATTTTTAAAAAAAATAGTTTTAGTACAAATTTATTTTATAGAAATCAAGTAAACACTGCTGAAAATTTTATGCTTACAAAATAAAATCAATTAGGACAACATTTTTGAATCCCTCCACACATAGACTAAATAAAGAGTTTCCTCACTTCTTATACAATCAAAATTTACCATGCAAATCATTTTGGAGATTAGCATTTGTACTGTCTATGAATTATAGGTGGAAATCAAAAATTAAATAAACCTAAAATCATTTAATATCTGACTGTCTTTTTAAATAATACTTAATTTAAATACTCAACTGTGTTGACAAAGATTTAAGTGGTACTATCTAAGAATTTGAAATCAAATGCAGTTTTAAGATACCTTTGTCCCTTATGTCACCTATGCATATAAGTGAAAGCAAAGCTTCCTTAATACTTACAGCACATTTCTTCTGTTCAGCTTCTTTTTCTTTAGTTTTCCTGGCTTCAATATCTGAGGTGAGATCAGCAAGATTGACCTTCAAATTCGAGATTGTCAATTCCAATTCTTCTATCTGATTCTGATGAGAAATACAAAGTTCTTTCTCATGAGAGTGACAACAGTTAATTTCTTCATTCAACTCTGTAATTTTTGTCTGTTGATTCTGTAAGCATTCTTCATTTTCATATATTGCCTTCTTGTGTGAAGAAATCTTCTGGTTTAATTCTTCTTGAAGATTTTTTAAAGTCAATTCATTTTCTGTAAGTTTCTCATTTAAGCTTTTCTTATCTTCTTGCAAAGAAGAAATACTTTCAAAATATTCTTTTATCTCATTTTCCTTTTTTTCAAGACTTTCTTTCAAAATTTTATTGCTTTTCTGCACCTCTGACAATAAATCCTCTTTTGATTCTAAAGATTTCTGGTATGTAGCAATTTCACTCTGGTGCTCATCCAGATAACCTTTTAAAGATACCTTTTCGGTGTCTAAGGTTTTCAATTGCTCAATTAAATTTTCAACATTGTTTTCATCTTCTAATTTTGCTGCTTTCATCTTCTCCACTAAGGATTTCAATTCAACAAGTTCAAGTTCAGAAGAGCTGGAATCTTTTGTTAAAGCTTCTAATGACTTCTGACTCTCAAGAAAAGCATTATCCTGCATTTTCATCTGAATTTCTAAAGAATTTATCATTGACTTTAACTCTTTCTCTTTTTCTTCACTTATTAACACATGTTTTGAATAATTTTGATTTTTTTCCTCTAACTGGGATTCTAATTTTATTAGACAATCTGACTTTTCTTTTACTATTTCTTCCAAATTTTCTAAGGTTGATGATTTCTGCTGTAAAATCTGAAGCAAATTCTCTTTCTCTTGGACCAAAGAATTTAACTGATTTTTACTGGTACTACTCTGGTTTTGAATTACAGAAAGCTCATTTCGACACTCTTCAAGAGAAGTCTTCAGTTCAAGATTTTCTTGGCTAATTATACTGATATGTTGGCTGGAATTTTGCTGAAGTTCTTCAAGTCTATTGGCATGAGCTTTATTCATTTCTTCTTTTTCCATAATTAATTGTTCTTTCTGAAGTGCCAATGATTGACATCGATCCTTTTCAGAACTAAATGCTACTTCAGTGTGATGTAAAGTTTCTTTAATTTTGTCTAAATCTGACAGCTGTTTGGTCAAAGAATTGATCTGAGATTTTTTGTCATTAAAATCATTTTTCAAGCTATCAATTTGTTTTTCCATATCATTAATCTTTTGTTGGGAATTCTCAAATTCTACTTTTAAATTCAAAAGTTTTTCTTCTTTTTCCTGCAGCTTCATTTCCAACGTGTTCTTTTGTGCAAGATACTGCTCATTTTCTTGTAATTTACTGTTTGTAAGCTCACCTTGCATGTTCTCCTTTAAATCCATTTTTTCTTTTTCAAGAGTTTCAATGGTACCAGTCATTTCATTAATGGTTGAAAGTAACTGAGCTTTTTCATCAGTGAGTACAGTTTTTTGCTGAATAGTTACAGTCAGCTTATCTTCTAAAACAGAAATGATATTCTCTTTATCACGAATGTTATTAGAAAGTTCACAATTATATTCTTCAGCTTGTTCCAAAGCCTTTCGCAGTTTGTTTAATTCAGTGCTCTGCTGATCACAATGGTTAAACAGGTCTTGCACTTGATCATTAGCTTCTTGGATTCGAACAGCAGCTTCTTTTCGAACTTCTTGCAACTGGTCCTCTAAATGATCAATTAAATTTTGTTTTGCAAGCAGTTCATCTCTCATTTTTGATTGACACTGATTCTTTTCAATCCATGCCTCTTCTAAAACTTGTTCAGATTGCTCATTTTCTACTTTCATGTCATCATATTTCTTCTTCATTGATGCAAGGGAACTAGAAAGTTCTAAGATTTTATTCTCTAACTCTTGCATGTATGTCATCTTGTCTGTCAAGTTTTTGTCCATGTGCTGAAGATTCTCATCCTTCAGCTTGGATTCTTTTAAAATAGAAGTTTTCTCATCTTCCATCTTTTCAACTATTATTTTGTATTCCTCTAAAGACTTTTCCAAATTAGCTGCATTGTTCTCAAATTCTTTCCATTTCTCTTTCAGTTCTATCATTTCCTGCAATTCTCTCTCGGTGCCTGCTAAGCGTTCTGCCAACTGAGCTTTCTCCAAGAACAAAATTTCATAGGAATCTTTAAGGTGTTTGCTCTCTTTACTTATCTCTTTGCTTTGCTCCTCAGATAAATGCATGACAACTGAGAGAGAATCTTTTTCTCTTAAAATATTTTCTTTTTCTTCCACAACCACTTGCACTTGGTCCTCTAGTCGTAAAAGTTCGTTCTCCAATCTTCCTTTTTCATTGATTATCTCTTCAACCTTTTTCTTCATGCGGTTGATTTCATCCCGCGAGGAGCAATCTTTCTCTGTAAGTTTGAACATTTCTTCACGCAAACTATCACGTTCGTTCAAAGCATCGTGTAAAGAATTCATGAGAAACTCCAACTCATTACGCCAATGCTGCTCTCGTTGTTCTGTTTCTTCAAGATCTAACAATGCTCTATCTTTGTCTTCTTTCATCATATGCATCAAGTTTTCCCACTCTTTCAGTTGCTCGGTCTTGTTCAATAACAAGCTACACTGTGTCTCATTCTCTTGCTTAAGTTCATAAAGTTCATACTGTAAGGTTTCCCTTTGCTCAAGCATCTGTTCCAGCATTGACTGTATTCGACCATTGTCTTCTTGAAGAGACTTGATTTTCTGTTCATATGAATGAATGGCTTCAGGAGTCTGCTCAGATGGCGAAAATCTTAGAGATTCATTTGGAGGGGAGGATTCCATGGCTCGTAGTTTCTCTTGGAGAGTCTGTAGAGCATCGACAGAATGAGAATATTTAGCTAATAATGTTGTATATTCACTTTCTTTTTGGTCCGCTTTCTTTTTTTCAGCTTTAATTTCACTTTCCGCTTTGACTAATGCATCTTTTGATTCTTTGACTTCTTCGACCAAGAAATTCAAGTCTGATTTCATCATTTCTAACTGCTTCTTACAAGAGGACATCTTTTGCTTACTCTGATGCAATTTTTCTTCAAGGCTATTATTGTCTTTCAAAACTTTCTGGTACTTAATATTATTCTCATTCTTCTCTTTTTTTAGCTCCTCACACAATGTTTGCATATCAATAAACTGTTTTTTCATCAAAGAAATTTCTTCATTTTTTCCAGCCAAATTTTCCTTAGATACAGCAAGTTTTTCTTCAATTTCTTTGAGTTGCTGCTTCAAGTCATTTATCTGATTAAAATGTTCCTCAAGAAGTCCATCTCCATCTGTAGAATGGTTTTCCTCAATGTCCTGTGATTGGCTGTTTGACAGTTGATTTGTTAGTTCTTCATTGGTCTTCTGCAACTCCTCAATCACAATCAATTTCTCTTCTAAAGAGGTTTTCAGACACTTACATTCATCATCCATTTTATTTAAGCAGATTTCTTTTTCTTTTAACTGTTCAGAGATGCTGCCATTGTAGCTCTGAAGACTTTCTACTTTGGCTAAAAGTTCCTTTATTTTATCAGTAGCCACATCCCCAAAATCTTTGTTTGCCTGGAATAAACCATAATCATTTATATTCATAAGCACATATTCAGTGATCACAAACTGACCTAAAAGTTGAGCAATTAAAAACCTTGTAGCCCACTATTACCACCTTCCATTTAATAGCCAATATTATTATAGAAACAGATCCAGTTTATTTTCCAAATAACATACATAATTTTAGGCCTATTAAGCTATTAACTATGCAACCAAATATTTAGTTGACTTATTAGATAGATGAAGAAGAGCAAAATAAAGGGATCATAACATAAATCTATGTTAGCGATAATGAAGAAAAAGATATCTTGAATAATAAGTTTAACAGATAAGCACAAAAATAAATGCCAGAAAGAATATTCCATGGAAATATTTCAAAAAGATATGTTCACAAGCAAACTTTTGCAGTTGAAATCAAAAGTCAAGCAACCTACAATAAGCAGCAATATGGCAACATTTACTTCTATAACAAAATGCACTCTTATTACTAAGTGCAGATATTTTTATAAAGTTATTGTTTTTGCTTAGAGAAATTTCATGTCATTGCAAATATTTAAATTATTTATAAAAATAAAAACATGCAAAAGATAAGATTTACCAAGATAAAACTTTTAAATACAAGGGAGCATTTTCTAACATGCACTATTCTGTAGTTAATATTCAAATAAGAAAAATACCCCATTTTATTTTAGAGTAACTCATATATGAATTCATTTACTGTTATTAGTTGCACAAACACAAAAGGAAAGATTAACAAATATTATTACTAATCTCCAAATGGAGCATCACTTATAAACTAGTCATTTCAAAATCGTGACATTATAACTCATGCCAGAAATATTTACCATTATCTTTTTATATTTATTGTACTGGTATATTTTACAGTTTTAAAATTTAATAATTATTTTATTGAATTAATCTATCTTTCTCACATATATATATATAAATTCAGCTGAAAAATATAGGAATAAGAGCAATTACTAGGCATCACAGGATTATTCTTTGTACTGACAATAGATTAAAAGATGGGGTAAATATTAAACTTTTAGCAACATTAAGAAAATAAAATACAGGAATAGTGGCTATTATTCAATGCTGTTTTTGTTTTAAAACATAAGCTACAAACCAATTTAATTATATTGAAATTTAAAATTTATTATTGTCAATACAAAAAATGTATTTGGAAAATATGTTTCCTGTGAGGTTAAAAGTCACTAAACATGGCTCAAATCATCTGATAAAAAGCAAAAGTAAAGCTACAAGAGAAACATGAAAACCAGCACCAGCAGCAGCAGCATTATCTACAACCAATCATCACCATTCACAAATCAAGCAAAGTTATTGTTAGTAACAGAAAAGGAAATCCACATGCAAAAAGCCAAGTAGAGTATTACAACGTGTTTCAGAGTGTGTCATATTTTAAGTATTCAGTGAAGTTCATATTAAGAGAAATATCTTAATTATATATCTGTACTAAAAATAATACACAGCTTTAAATATACATTTCAATAAGTATTCGTGTCTGTTTCCTTTAAATAAAATACTATACTAATTGACACATAATCATAGAAATATCACTTATGCAAAACATTACTCTTAAACTCTCCAATTAAAATATGAAAAGATGGCAGAAAATTATTTTAGGACACAGAAAATGTAAATAACATTTTATAATTTAAACTATTTTAGTTGGCTAAGTAGAAAACATTTAAAATATACACTCAACTTCATTAATATAGAATCTGATTGGCTCAACTGCTCTGATGATTCAGAAATGAACTGGAAGTAATAATATTTTGTTTAATTTTAGACAAAGAATTGTTAATTATAACTTTTTACACTAATATTTCTTCCATTTCAGCTGCTTTATTTTATCACAAATCTCAAACCAATACAAGTCAAAAATGAATTTGGGGAAAATAAGGGATATGCTAATCTATTCAGAGTTGAATAACTGCAGCCAAGTTTCCATGGACCTAATCAGTAAGGTAGCCGCCATACAAAGATTTCCTGAAGAATGCAAATTCAAGTTGCACCAGAGGCCAATTCTTTATTTCCAGTCTACAACACTTATTAACTTATGATTACTAAAATTCAAGGATCAAAAAGAATTCCCAAGAAAAGGATCATACAAGAGAATGAAAGAAGAGATGACACGTGTAGAACAAAGAATATAGTTTCAAAAGATTTTCTCTCTAAAGTTTGCCTCTTTAGTATGTTTTCAGAGTTTTCTAGAAACTTCCAACAAACTTATATCTTTCAAAGTAATTGCAGTTTTCATGGGTAATGCTAGTAGACATTAATGTGTATCTTAATTTACAAAATTAAATTTTCAATAATTCAGAATTTGCACAAATTAAAAATATGTCTGCTCTCAACCCCAACATTTTATACAATATAATCTCTACCATTGTATAATAACTACAATATATAGTTGTAAATTAATTCAAAATATTTTTATCCATTTAAAACAATTGGTATGAATGTGCTGTGTTAGGAAAATATTTATTAAACTTATTAAAAATCATAAGAATTGAGCATTCAAAATGAGCCATGCTTGATTTCATCAACAAATATTTATAAGCAACAAAACTTTTAATGAAAACAAATGACTACATTAAAAAAGGATTTGACACCAAACAAATCTACAACATTCACAAACCGCACAATACTAGAAGTCATCATTTTATATATTATGAGTAGAAAACAATGTTACTTTTAAATGATCATTTAATAAAGTTGCAAATAAAGTAAATTAAGGAAAATAAAATTATAAAAGAAAAGTGTAATAAATGTTTAAGGGTTAAAATTGATTTGAAAAAGGACATACCTGACTGTCAGACTCTGCAACTTTAGCTCTTTCTTCAAAGTGTTCACATTTAAGTTTAGACTCTTCCAATTGTGACTGAAGTTCTGAAAATTCAGCTGTATGATGTTCCTTCAAATCTTTCAGAGCCTTTAGACTTTCATCTCTGGCACTGATCAACACATTGATTTGCTCTTTAAGACTCTACACAAAGTATAAGATCAGCTTTTGAATATCACAAAGTAGATTAGAACTACATTCTAAAATTTTCAAACAAGATACCAGAACAAATTATATCTGTATGTAAAATGTCACTGAAATCAAAATTTTAATATCTTCACTGCTACTACATAAAATGAAAAAGTGTCATTTAATGATATAGTGAATTAAGAAATAAAAAAGAAATTGAATAAAAACATTCATAAATTACCAAAACAATTTATTTTCATATAAATAATTGCCTTGCAATGAAAAGCATATGTTAAAAATGTTACTTATTTTCTTCCACTTACACATGTCTTTGATAGAATCAATAAACAAAAATACACCAATTCTGAGAAGATTTTCTAAAACTGCATGCAGATATGACAGTCCACTTGAATTTATTAACATTCCTATTGACTACTCCTTTTTAGTCCTATTGCCATTGAATGAAAAAAACATTTTGGCTAATAAAATACAAACAGAAAATACTACAATTCACAATTACAAAGCTTTGTGTCACTAATGTTATTTTAAAGTTGTGTATTTTATCAGCGTACAGTGTTCAAGTGCAACAAAACAGGAAGAAATATCATCAAATCTTACCTATAGGAAAACGATAAAGAAAAATATTATCCATTTTGAATAAAGTAGCATTAAAAATTGATTTCTATATTCAAGTAGTCCAGCTACAAGTGAAAATACTAATTCATTTATCCAATGACAGAAATTAAATTTATGATCAGATCATTATGATTCTAATAATGTAACTAAAACTGACATAAAATTGCTGTTATAGTGGTCAATGACTGCCATATGCTGAATAGCATAAAATATGAAACCACAAAATTTTCTCTGGCTAAACAGGAAGGAATGATTTTAACTTTTCATTTAAATGTCTCTATGATTATATACTTATTTTATGACAACCTGAATTATCAGTTAATGTAGTTATTTATGTTTTCGTTTTTTTTATCATCAATTGTTTTCTAGATAAGACATGGAAAATGCTGTAAGTCAGATTTAAATCAACTAACCTTATTTTCTGAGATTATTTTGTCCTGTTCCTCTTGCATGAAATGAAATGAAGCTGATAAGGTTTCATCCTTCATTTTCAAACACTCATTCTGTTCTTGAAGTGCCTAATAATATACAGATGATCAGAATTACATAAAACATTACGATGATCCCAATAAGTTATTCAATAATTTTCCAGATATATATTAACAAGCCACAAGAAAAAGTTAAATATATCACTCAATAATTTTCAGAATTATATCATTGTATTTTGTTTTAGCTATCAATATGAAAACAAATCTGTAATGCGGACCATGTTGCATAAAAATTCAAGATGCCCAATATTTATAACACTTGGAAAATAGACAAACATTTTTCACTATTTTTCAGAGAATGGGGAATGCAAAATGGTAGTTGCTATTTAAATTAAATTTTAGTTTTTAAACATAAAAATTACATTAAAATGATAAAGCAATATATATGAAGATAAAATATTTTACAAGTAAAAATATAAGAATTCTCTACAAATCAATTTAATATTTTCAGTAAAATTATAGTTTACATACTTTCTTTTCTTTCTGTAAAAGAGCCACTTCTTCATTAAGGTTGGATTTTTCTTCACAAGCAACTTCATGTTGCTTTTCAATATCCTAGAATTAAAAAAAAACAAAACATTTTAATCACAACTTAGAAGATTATGCAAGTGAAATTTATAAAGAAAAATCTTTACAAAATCTAAAAAAACTTCAAATATTTAAGAACGATAAAAGTAATCAGGAATATATATTTTAATTATAAAGCATTTTTCAACAACAGAATTCTATTAATAAACTCTGGAAACTGACAAATATGGAGTTGAGAAAAAAAACGAGGTCTATTCAGAATGTATCTAGCCACTTTGAATATACTCAGAACCAATTACATGGCCTTGATGTAACTTAGTAATGAATGCATGTGAACCTTTCTGCGTATGCATAAACAGACACTTTCCTGTGGGTTTACTCAGTTGACAGTGAGACACTACAGTATGACCTTTGTATTCATGATGTACAGTCATCATGCCAAAACATATCTCAAAGGTTTGCTATCCCTTCTCTTACCGTCCAGATTTGGCTCACCATGATTTCTGATTTTTTTTAAGGCTAAAACAACTGTAGACAAGATTAAGGTAATTACAACAGGGCAGATGAGGTAATCCATAAAGAAGACTTTCCAGACTGTTTTGTAATGTAGAAGTGAATTTAAGATAGATATGGGAAATCCCAAAAAGAGTATTTTTAAGAGAACTAAGGCTCCATTGCTTTAGACTGTATCTTGTTAATATGAAATAGCTGAGTACTTCACTGACAATCCCTGCACAAACAGATTAACTAAAGTGAGAAGTGAATTCAAAATATTTCTTTTCATTATTTTAAGAAATATTTGTTGCTTATCTTGATATCAATTTTTTTCCATAATTATTACAATTTAAGCAGGAATACAGATTGGAAATATCAGTGAAGATACGTATTTCATATTTTGTCATTTAAAGTACATAAATTAAAAGAAATTCTATTTTCAAAGTCAAATTTCAATCAAACTAAAGATTAACAAATAAAACATTCATTTTTTTCATAAATCTTTTCTATAGGTTCTAAAATAATTATCAGAAATAAAAACTTACAACAATGGTTGCTTGCAATGAGTTATGCCTTGCTTGCAGCTGTTCTTTTTCTTCCAATAATTTTCGAACCTGTTCTTGCAATTCCTAGAACAATAAACAGGAATCAGAAATCAAATATCAGCATAAATCAAAGAATTAAAGAAATATAATTGAAATATCTGTTCAGTAATCAAATATGAAGGAAAAATGTCTGTTCAGTTAATCATCTGAGTTTTGGATTATGTCATTGCCACAGTGCATTTTATTAACTAAATGACAATTGTATATCACAGACAGGTAAATGTTGTTCTAAAAATCTTATTTTGGGAGGCTGCTAATTTTACTTGGACATTCTCTGTCATGACTGTACAAAATACTGAACATATATTTGTTAATTTTATTTTCTCAAATGGATTACAAAATTTTGAGAAAGGATTGTTAATTCCACTGTGATATTAAATCTAACCCACAAAAACTTTATATTCTTTCCTATGTTTCTGATATTTGATACAGTGATCATTGCTACTGGTTTTTATTTTTTAAGTTCAATGATTCATTAGCAATGTTTGATATACAATAATTTCCATGGTGAAACTGACAGTAACAAAAAAGCAAGATTGTAAAACAAAACAAGATAAAACTTTGCATCAGACAAAGTCACTTGGATAATGAAAAAAAAAAAAAAAAAGATTAGTAAACAAAAAGAATAATTGTGTATTGAAAACACTTTTAAAACCAAATAATTATTTTTAAATATTACAGAAGGATGCTGAGAATACCATGGAGTGAACATGTGAGCAATGATAAAGTTTTAGAGAAAATGGAAACAAAAAGCACATTTATATTTAACATCAGGAAGAGTCAGTTGAAATTTATAATGCACATAATGAAGGAGGAAGGCTTGGAAAATTTGATACTCACAGGACAGATTGAAGGCAAAAGAGACAGAGGAAATCAATACATAACCTACCTAGTAAGCTTGAGTAAACAGATGGTGGAACAAGGTTTAGGAAAGAGAACAAAAAGACAAAATTTATTAACAGCTACAGAGGGCAGGAAATTGTGAAGATCCATTATCACTAACATCCTGAAGTGACATGCTTTCTATTGTATAAATAATTTGTTTTTACTGGCCTTGATGTAACTTAGTAATGAATGCATGTGAACCTTTCTGCGTATGCATAAACAGACACTTTACAAAGTTTCTGTGAAAGAGTAAGAAAACAGTATGAAAAATAGCCAAATCCAGTTATAAAATAAGCTTTGTTTTTGTATATTCTAATACACACAGCATTGATAGGGCTGTTTCTTTTATATTTTTTTTTAGTTCAACAAGATTATACAGCCAAAATAAAGTAATCAATAATTGACAAAAGTTTTAAGTGTTTTAAAAATTAAACATATTTTAACTGATAATTCCAAATAAATCTTGCTTGATGAGGATTTAATATTGGGAACATTGTTAGATGGTGGTATGTTAAGCTTAAAGGAATCTAGTAAAACACTTATCAAGAAAAAGTTCCATGAAGTATTGTGGCATTGTTACACTTTTTTTTGTGGAATCTGAGTTTATACTCAGTCACCGACAGGAATGCCAGGATCTAAGATTGTACTTGAAGAGCAAATGTGCCATATATTAGGTGGATTTACTTCAAGATGGTGTAGGTGCTAAGCTTACAGACAACTTATGTTGTGGCAGTTATCTGCCTGAAGAGTTACTTAGTAATTGGTGATGTGTTCTGCCAGCCATGGATTTGTGGATCCTCAAATTATCAATTTCCAAAATAGTTATATGCCCAAAGATGACAACCATCTTAAGCTGTATTTGATCTCAAAAATTGATATCTGCAAGATCATTCACATCTAGTTTCTTGCATCTGACTAACTCATATGCTTTGCATGGTTTCATTAGTGCATCTAAAGTGATAACTCATGTGATACAAAATTGTGCTCTCCTACTGTCATCACTGGAGGAAGCAGTGGCTGATTGAGATGTCCATGAGTTTATTAAATGAACAGATAAACTACTTGAGGCTTTTCAGTTTATTCAAAGTGTGCTGTGTTTTAATATAACCATTGTACTACCCTGCCCATTGGATCTGTTATTGATCATTATAGAGAATTCTGTAAAATAGTCTAGTATCCTTTTATGTATTACAAGAGATGAATACACTTATCTTGCAAGGTTTATAATGCAAAGCTAAAGAAACATCAACGCCCTTGATTCAATTTGAGATCAAGGCCTTGTCTCTTGCAAATTCTATGAAATATTTTAGCTTTTACATCATTCAAGTAACCAAACATATGTGCATTATAACTGAGAATCATGCATATAGACATATGAGTAAAATTCATATGGTCGAGTTTTCTTCAATAACCACATTTCTTTTTCATGGTCACTAGATACTAGGTTGTTTAGCTAAATCTGCTATTCTATCAGATTTTGATAGCAGAAATATTTGAAGTTGTTTTGAACAAAATTGCTAAGTATATTCATTTGTGCTAAGGTGCAAAGATGTTCACAGTTTAACAAGATGTACTTTCTGGAAAAATAGTAGGTCAACATGAAGACAGTTGGAGTTTGTCCTAATCTCCATTATGGTCATTCACATCTAGTACAAAAGCAGCCAAGAAGGTAACAAACTAAGATATAAAGATCTAAATGATGTAACTATACCTAAAGACGGTATTCTTTGTACAATGTAGTAAGACATTTACATTGAAAACTATGGATTATTAACTGCATTACATCCAAACCACTGGTTTGTCGAACTAACTCACAAAAGGATGCTTCCCTGATCACTACAATCTTAACCTGTTTAAGTCTAGGATTAACCATTATCTTCCACACAAACTGTGCCCCTTATGTTGTAACCCTCCACATCAAGTGGCGCTTGGGCCTTTTACAGAGTGAACATTGTACAAAAAAAAAAAAAATCTAAAATTGGCTCACTCATTAAGGCATCAACTGATGTTTATATTTAAATGTTATTGTTTCTCCCTTGATGCAGATAAATCAATTGAACAAATTTCAGAAGCACGTCATTCATGTCTATCATTAAAGAAAAGATTATCAGCTATTCACACATAATCAACCAATAATCCTCCAAACAGGTGGTATGACTTTTGCTGCTGATGTTATGAAACAGTACTGTCAACTTGTACCAGTATTATGGGAACCTAACATCATTCACCTATACATGTCAAAGAGAAAACAAAAAAAAAGAAAATATTTCACAACACTCTAATTAGACTTTTTCTAGAGATGCATTCTCTTGTTTCTCAAATTACTGTAAGAGTCGACACTTTGCAAGTTTACTTTATAATAATAGATTATCCAATCATACCAGTGTTACAGATGTCAAGTACACTAATGGTAATATTAGCTATTTCCTTATAAGGAAACATTCAGCATTCATTGACCAAGTAGTCATTAAATTAATAAAATCTTTCCCTTAAAACAATTTTCATAAAAATAGGTTTCCTTCTTCATCTTTTATTTGAAGTAATGTGGAATGTCAACATCTTATGTCATTATTTTATCTTCAAGTTACATGCGATATCCATTTTAGCTGTTGCTGCTTTTGAAAGTCCTCAAGTTGTTTCTGCTATTTGGTACAATTCCCTGTGATTCTGTAGCACAAATGCACAATGTTCGAAGAATGATAGTCTTTACCAAGATCCACAGGCTTCACTTGCTCAAAGGCATTTTTAACCATTGATCTTAGAAAGCAGATAGTTTAGATATTTTTGAATGGGTCTGGTACCATGCATGACATCCATATGAAAGTCTCTATCTGATGAGGCTATTTAAGAACATGACCCAAATTCTAAAGTTAATGTTTTGGTTTTGTAACAATTTGCAGTATTGGGTGAAACTACTATGTTCAATTTCCTTATCTCCTATACTAAATTTGATATAATTGATCCATACACTAAGGTATTTGAAGTGTTTAGTATTTACTAATTCCACATCCTGCATTTTTATGATAGATTCAGGATAGGTGCCATCACTGCCTTCATTCCAATTCCAGATCATTGTTTCCATTTTGGAAAGTTTTATCTCGAGACCTATTTCTTGGAATATTTGGTAGAGGGTGTTGATTTTTTGTTCAAGATCATGCTTATCCTATATCATTGGCATAGTCCCACAACCCTACACCTATTATCAGTACATTGGCATCAGGAGGAAAAGCAGGATCACTGTCTCCTATCAGTTGATTCATTTGGGATGAAGTATGGAATACTTAAATGATCAGTGCCCATCTTTTCACATCTATGCTTGTAAATGCAGAGGGCATAGTCTAGGGAAAGATTAAATAGACTGGAGCATTCATTTGCTCCTTATTGTTCTCCTGATGAGATTTGAAATATTTCCATATTGGTGTCCACATGGGACATGTAAGATTTTATGGACCAGTAAAGTTCTTCTATTAGGTTGTTACATTCAATGGATTCAGAACATGGAAGGAGAATTCCACTGGGTGAAAAGAGAAAGTCTCTATTGATGTGGTCATAAGCTTCTGTGCAGTCAATATAACAGGTATACAATTTCATACAAGACATATATGTAATTGCTTGAAGTTGTTTGAAACACATATACCATCATTACATCCCTTACCAGAACAAAAACTGGGTTATAAGGAGTTAACTTTCATAAAACAATAGACCCTAGTTAATATAATGTCCATTAATAATTTGTGGGAGGTAACGCAACAACTCAACTGATGATAGCAGGTAAGAACAAAGAAACCGTGAGGAAGGGGTGACCAAAAAAAACCCGGTGTCGCACGTCCAACCTTCTGACGAGCCGGAAGCTCTCTGATCCGAAACAGCGAAACAAGCCTGCTTTATACAGCCGAGGACCGACCACGATTTGCATGCGAATGACGGGACAACAAGATTTCGCGTTAACTAACCGAGACTGCCCGGCATAAAATATGGGCGCCACCATTTTGGTTCCTTTTACCGTTGGGAGAACCGGAGTTTGCACACTGTACAGATTCGCACGTGTTTCCGAGGTAAGCCATTTTCACAATTTTCCCCCACATAATTTCACCATAATGGCTCTAATTGAGATACCTCTGTATGTGTGTTGGTCTTGAGGGCTACATTTTTGTTTCTATACTGCATTAACGAATGATAAACTCCACATTTTTATATGCCATACTGATTACAGGCTTCTTTCATAAAATGGAGAAACTTGCAATTGAATTCTAGAGAAAGTTTGCTATTTTCAAAAGTTTGGCTTCCATGTCTAGTGATGCTTTATTATTCCTTAGTTTTTTTTAATAGCTTTCTTAAATTTCCTCATAAGTAGGTTCATTATTGTTTATGTTTAGAGATGTACTTTGTAATGATTGGATGTATATTGATATATTTTCTACTTCTGATGACATCTTTAATTTAGTGTGATCAGGGTTGAAATGTAACAATAAAAATAGGAGAACATGTTATCACAGAGTTGAGCAAATAGTTGCTGAGCTAAAATCCTAGCAGCATCTTGATTTCTAAGATATCCTTGTCCATAGTAACTTGAAGCTTTAATTTATGAAGATGTGGTTAGGACTAGTCAACCAAGAAAATGAATACTAAGATCAGCTGATAAATAATCAGATCTGTTAGTGGTTTCTGTCTGATTAAGGAACTGTACAACCAACAGGTACACAATCATCAGTTTTGTATGATTTCGAGATCACCAGAGATCATGTACATGACCAAGGTACATGTTAACTTAGCAAACATAGCTTTTGATCCTAAGGTGAAGCTCATTACAGATATTTAATTGTGTCTCTTGATGTAGGATAATACAGAGTACAAAGTAAAATTATTCAAATGCAATAGTATAACATCCAAATTAACACACTTAGATTATATGACTACTGATTGCGCTCACTATGAAGATGAAAATGACGATTCTGAGTTAAGCATACAGGCTGGACCACTAAAACATGTATTACATAAGTCACTCTGTGAATCACCTGTACTTTATGACTTCCTTTAAAATTACAGAGCTGATTAGTTCAACTATATACAAACAACTTTGGCTGGAAATGGGCCTATGAATAATAGTACACATGCTCATCCATCTATTGATAGTCAAGCCATAACTGTTGAGCTAGTGGAATGTAGATCTACCTGTAATCAGATTTGTCCTACATCTCTTAATGATTATGTCACCTATTATGAGCTTATGTTCCGATATTTTGTTGTAATATCATGTTGTCCTGAATAGTCTTGTTTTGTTCAAGTTAATATTAATTAGTATTATGCTAGCACCATATGAATTAAAAAACTGATAATTTATCAAGATATTGTAGCGATCATCATTGCCATCACATACACATACATACAGATCATACGACAAGCATTCATTGGCTGATCTCCTCAAAACTAGCTTGCAATCAAATCGCCGGCACATGAGGAATAATTTTCCTGCTCACAAGCTTCACAGCCGATCACGAGATACACAGCCTTATATAAACAAAACATGAATAAGCCTCCCTCGTGTTTCTCTTCATTCATCTTTTTTCTTGCTGCCAAGATGTAATCTTCAAGAGCTCCTGTCTTAACTGTGCAGTCAGACGTTAAAGATCATTGCCAACAACTCTTACCGACTTTCTCGCAAGTTGTCAGTAGAGTCCAGCTATTATGCCTGTCTACACAAATCCACGACTTTACTCACAACGCACACACAGACACAGATTTTTATATCACACACATTCTTCCTCTCTGTGACTATGCCAAGTTCATGAACCAGAATTCTCTTACTTACTCAAAACAACACACTTCTTAATTAGCTGTATTCTATTCTAACACCAGACTATTCAACATAGAATCCTGAACATTCTTATTCAAGAGAAATTCTTTTGAACATTCAATCTTAATCAGAATACAGTTGAAGGGAAGCAACTTTTTCTCCCTTAATTTCTACACACACATTGCATGATTGTTTTGAATGTTATTGTTTCAATATATATTTTATTGTTGATGCACAATTGGAGCCTCGTTGTTTTTTTATTGAATCATTAAATGTATAATAGATAAATGCTCTTAGAACACGCAATTACATTTGATAACCTCAACGCATAAACCCAAACAGCATTTACAATATCATAAATACACATTATGATTTTGATGAAATGCAATTTGGAAATATTAAAGGAACAAATTATTACAGATTGGGGCAAAGAGTTGAAGATAAACTGCACAGAGAGAAGGAAATATACACATATTGGTAATTAACTTGTGCAGTTCATATGTAAATTGACCTTCTTTGATTTTGCACACACCCCAATTAGTATGCAAATTTATTTACTCTGGTTTCATGTGCAACACATATTTCTAACCATTACAACTATTGCTGTTGAATTAGTAGAGTAGAGTTTCTGCCTATATTTTCACAGCAATAGCTACTGTTTCCAGTATATTTGGTTATTTATTCACAGGTTCACTTGGTCTAGGGCTTAAGTAGGTAGGTAGGTAGGAGATATTTGGGACAACTACTGTTGTCACAACAAACTAAAGGACAAGATCTTTCCCTTGGCCAGTGAGAATTCCAGTTCTCTTCTACCAATCATCTACATCATGCAACTAACCTATGAATGACTCAAAACTTTCTGCCCATTCTCTGACTCTGCAATATCAGCCTGTAACCAGAATTTTCTAACTTCCAAACAAGTTTTCCTTTATTTATTTTCTCTATTTCCTTTCAGTCAGCCAATGGCTGTTTTGAAAATCTTATTTTGTAGATTTTTATTGTCTATGGAGTCATTAAAACTACTATATTTCAGACCAAGGTAAAAAACATTCACAGTGTCTACTTTGTGAGTGTTCAAAGGCAAATATGGACATAAATTTACACCAATATCAATCGCCAAAGTCAATCAGGCTTACAATTGCTCCAAATGTCATCTGGAAAATTATTTCTCTTGATGCTTTATTCTCTTTTTGCTATCATATAAAATGTTTTGCTTTAATAAAATTTATACCCATGCAACAACAAAAAAGAAGAAAAATTACCTTAATTTCTCCATTGTCTTTGGAAGAACTATTTTCAGCTTGTGAGGTATTCAATTGGGCCACTTCTTTTTTAAGACCTGCAAAAATGTGAGCATTACACAATGTTTCTGATTACATATTCAATGTCTACAAAGTAGGTAAATCAATAAGTCTATAGCTTAATGATGAAAAAGTATTTTATACAACAAATCATTATATAATGAAAAGTTTGTACAGAAATTTAGCTGACAACTGCATTTCAAGTTATGGACTTATTGATCTAACATTATATTGCATATAAAATAATTTTGTTTTGTTCTATAAAGTTTTGAACAATTCTGCAATATTGTGAATATATTGCTCATATTTTGAAAATGTTTATTTACATCAATTAATACCAATTTTATTGAGAAAAAATTGATTTGTATGATAAAATCTGACATTAGTGTGTGAAATATCTTCAATGGCTGAATGGCATTATTATACAGCAAGATGTGACTTGAAAACAAGTCAATTTATCAAACCTGCTGTCACATTTGCAAAATTAATACAATAAAATAAGAACTTTAATGAATTCAAAAAACTCAGTTTTCTCTAATTGATAAAATAAACAATTAGTGAAAAATAACAACTGGGAGAAATAATGGGATGGTGGATGAAATGGAATATTTTTTTCAAAAAAATACTAAATTGAAAATTTTTCTCTGTACTAAATAATAAAAAAATTTAAACATTTGCACGCAGTTGTTCCCAATGTTCAAGTTGATTTCACTCAAACCTTTGTATAGGTAAGACGCAGGAGAAGGTGCCAAGTCCTTTGCTCTGATGCTTTGTTTAACCAGGAAGAAAAGGGGATGCTGCATCACTTCAGATTGAGATTATCTTTGAAATGAAAGAGTGGCCTGCTTGACCTGCTTGTTAAAAACTGAACAAAGAGGAGTTGTTTTGGAAGTCTGCTACCACACATATGAGAAAGATGTTCTACCCACCTGTTATATTTTCATTAGGATGGCTTCAATACCTGTAAGGTTGCATTTAGTCAGAAATTCAGTTTCTAAGGTGAGCACTCAAGTTCACTGATGCAGATAGTAGGTAGGAAACAGATGTGGAAGGCATCAAGTTGATTGAGGTGTCATTAGTACAGAGTCCAAGATTTTCCACCATAGAATAGGGATCTCAGTACTAGTCTTGTACACATCAATTTTCACCTTTAATGAAACATCATGAATATTCCAAAGTGTGTAATAAAGATTACCGATGACAGAACAAGCCTTTCCAATCCTGCTCTCAATTTATTTGTCCATTTTAGCATCATTGGATACAATGGAGCTAAGATAGGTGAAAGAGGAAACTGTTTTCAAGACAGTTTCTTCTTGGTCAACATAAACAGTGGGAGGAACAGCTGGGAAATGGTTACAGATATGCTAATGGACAAGTTTCATTTATTTCATGCTGATGGTCAATCCAAATCTTTAAATGCACAAGAGAATTTGTTAAGGATCCATTACATATCCTCAAGAGTGTTGACTACAAGTGCACAATCATCTGCAAAGAGCAGGTCACAAACAGTTTGTATAATTGTCTTAGTTCTTGCTTTGAAGCATTGTTGGTTGAATAACCAGCCACTTGCCCTAAACTCAAATTCCACACCTTTAATATTCTCAAATACTTTTTCCAGTGTGACAGAAAATACAAAGCAAATAAGAGAGGTACAAGAATACAATCTTGTTTTGTTCTATTAAAATGAATGGATCAGACACCTCTCCACTGGATCTGAGGCCATCATCTCCTGATGGAGGTATGGCGACACAGAGCACCCTTTCAAGAACAGTCAGTTTCCTAAGGACAACACAAATCCCTTGAAATGGTATTAGTGAGATTGATGAAAGTAACAAATAAATCTTTGTCATGCTTTCTTCTGTAGTTGCTTTAAACTGAAAATCAGGCCCAGTGTTTCTACCAGACTTAAAGCCACACTGAGATTCAAACAATACTGAATTGGCCAGTGTTGAGTCTGATCAAGATGATCCTGCCAAGAATTTTCCCAGCAACAAACTGAAGGGAGATACCTCTATTCACATTTATTGCCTTTGTGATTATAGAGCTGAACAATAGAAGTGTCTTTAAACACCTGAGGAACTGATCCTGAATCCCAGATTAAAATTTACAAACCTAGAGATTGCTGCCACATTTGTATATCTCTGCTGGTATGCCATCATTATTGGAGGACTAGTTTGTCAGTTGTTTTATAGCCCTTTTTATCTTAGCAATAGATGGAGTAGTTGATAGCCCTTCAAGAATAGGCCTCTGTGGTAAGTTAAGATTCTGAACATTCAAATCCATGTTTAGAACATTTGAGAAATGTTCTGCCCAGTGTTTAGTGGTTTCTTTTTTGTCTTTTAAGAGCTTATCATTGGAAGAAAAGATGGGAGTTGAGCCATTGGACATAGGTTCAAAGATACCACTTAGATTCTGGTAGAACGATTTAAAGTCACATCTATCAGTAGCATTCTGTAATTCCTGTGCCTTCTCTTGCCACCACGCTCATTTCATTTTCTGTAGTTGAAATTGGCATAGGTTTCTAGCTTTCTTGAATTCATTGTGCTTTGTGACATTGTTCTTGTCTGACATACATTTACAATGGCAATTGTGCATATTATACAAAAGAAGAACACTTGGATCATTTGAGTCAAACCAGTCTTGTTGTTTCCTTTTGACATATTTCCTGGTTTGACTCATATACAGCACTTTTGAAAACAGACTATGTTGACTCAATGTCTGCACTGTCCAGGATACCTGTAAGATTGTTGTCAGAAAGGGACTGAAAAGATTTTAAGTTGAGCTGCTGGTGTGCAGTTGTTACAAACCAGACTACAGATGGTGAGAAATCTTGGATCAAATTAACCTATAAGACCAACACTCACCAACTGAGATGGAACGAGTCATTTTTACATCTTTCCTTCTTGTTTATTCAACAATCTACATATGACTTGCTTATAGTGATCATTGCTTGTGCAGCACTATGTACTCTCTCTCCATCAAAACAGCATAGTCTGTACTGGTGCACAGTTTGCCACATGTCAGGTGCTGAAGTTATTGCAGATTTTAAATCAAAATTTTCTTTTTCCTAGGGAGATGTATTGTCCTTACAACATTATATATATATATAATGTTTTGAAAATAAGTTTAGAGAAAAACAAATTCTGAAAAATATACTAAGTTAAATGTAAGAGTTCAACCAGATTAAACAAAAAGAAAATAAATATATTTATCAGCAATAAATAAGTGAACCAAACAAAAAGTAAACAAAATAATGAAACCATAAACTTCAAAAATACTTTAAACAAAAAGTAAGAGTAAATGTTAAAAAATAAGATAATATAAAATATTTTCTAATTGATGTATAATTTAAAGTTTGTCAAAACAATTAGGATAAACCAGACTAAAGAAAATGTTTTTAACTATGGTTATTAATGTCTGACTGGTCTTTTTTTATTATTTTTGTTGCTTTGAATCACAATACATTATTTTACAATTATTAAGTAAGCAGCAGAAGTCAAAAAGATAAAGAATAAACCTTGGGAAAAATTTGAATCTTATCCATGGAAACTTGTCTTACAATGTCTTATAGTAGATCTCACTCAAATTCTTTTCTTATTCATTCTCAACTCATCTCAGGATGTTTAGTACCAGTATGAAATATAATAATCACCAAATTTCATGGATAAAACATTAATCATTTAGCTATCAGAGAACCTATGAGTTATGATAAAAAGCAACAGAAATATAATGAAAGAAATACCAGTCAAAAATGAATAATAATTGGTAGTTCTTCATCTAATAACCTCAAAAACCATTTAATTTTTTTCATTAAGTAGCTAATTAAAAGACTATCTACAGTAACTAAATACAGAATAATTAACACAAAATTTTTATTGTCAATAGTTTTTAAATAACTAACATTATTAAATAAGTTTATAAACATTAGATTTATATGAAACACTTGTAAATATTGCAAATATCATATAAGCAAACTGATAATCAAAAATTGTTCTCAGTAAAAAGAATGAGGTTATTTAAAAAAAAACTTGTTTTTTTTAAATAACCTCATTCTTTTTACTGAGAACAATTTTTGAAATTTTTTTGAAATTATATATTTGTTGATCTTAAAAGAAACTCATAAAGTGAATGTAAACAAGGGTAAATTTTTTTTAAAATAGCAAAACTCACTGAAATACGTATTAACAAATTTAGAATAAAAAATAAAGTTTAGTACTTCAACATTTTTGCAAATTATAGATCAAGAGTTACATATTTTTAAGAAGTCAACAAAATATCTTCTAATGAAAACAAAACATTTCAATATGCATTATTAAATCTAGAAAAGCTGTTTGATAGTGAATTGTTGTTCTTACATTTGCAAAATGCAAATATTTTTATATTTAATACATGAACTTTTAAGACTAAAAAAAAAAAAAAACAAACTTAGAAGGTATTAAAATAATAAAAACAAGGAAAATGCAGAAAAAAAAGGTAGAAATCATGCAGAAAGGTGCACAACGTACACTCAATCAAAAGCTATACTGATAAAATTAATTTATTCAAACCACACACAATTTTTCATGATTAAAGTCTATAAATTTAACTAAACAATATTATTAACACTCCAGAAAAATTAAAACAAAAAACACTTTTGAAAATGAAAATTGACTTTTAAATTACCTTCATAAATATGGCTGGGATATCAATATGCATTTATCAAATTCAGAGATATTTTAAAGTTGCAAATTATTTTCAAATAACATTGATGACAATCTCAGGAACAAAGCAAACTTCAAGCATAAAATGATGGAAATGATGACAGATTGACTTATTAGTAAGTGTGTTCAAATTAAATACAAGCCATTGCAAACACTAAAAACCTCAAGCAATATTAGGACTAGATTTCATCCTGATTACAAACTATTGCATAACATTTTGTCTTAAATTTATATTTGTCAGACTGTGCAAAACAACCTGAATGAAATTCAAAAAGAAAAATATATTTACCCTGAGTAGATTTACTAGTGTCTGGTAGTAACCTGGTCTGCAGTCCTGCAGGAACATTGACAACAGAGCATCTTTCAAATTGCAAAATATCAACAAACATTGCTTTGCCATCTTGCAAACAAGAATTGGTCAAACATTACTAAATATTGTGAGTAATATGTGTGTATAGGTTGTCTGAGAAAATAACTCAGTTTTTTGGCATATTCTGTAATTTTTCATTAATAGAATTCCTTCTATATACTTGATTAAAAAATATTCACTATTTGCCGTAAATTATATAAACCCAGTATAATTAATCCAACTTCATCAAAATTTCTATTAACTTACAAACTGAGACTCATCAGCATTTCCTTTTCAAAAGCATTCATACACTATCCAATGTGCCTGCCAAAAAGTAAATTAATGACATCTATATTGATGACACAGAGAAACAGTGATGAAATGAATGAGAATTTATATATCTAATGTTGTTTGAGTATTGAATAAATGATCAACTACCAGATAACAATCATTTACCTGCAGATTTGAATGCTATCCAAAATCTTTTAGAAGATACAACAGTTAAGTGAGATAAAAATCACAGATATGAAGACTTTTGTTTAAATAAATTATTATTAAATGTACAAAATGCACTGTTGTCTGAACAAAACCTTGTGTTATTTGAATAACACTGTAACAACATTCTCCACATATTTGCTGATGATTGAACTTTTAAGTGATCCACTCAACATAACAAACTTTACAAATAAATCCTTTCTATGCTGTTTATTCTAGGTTGCCGACAACAGACTGAATATTTTCCACCTGTTTTAAATTAGCAATCATTGCTCAAGATATCAAAGTGTGCTAAGAGACCTAGCTAAATAATGGAGTAAAAGACAAAAATATTACAAAGTGGTTGATCTATCTAAATGAATACATGTAGAAGAAACTACCAAACCTGATAAAAAAACAACCTAACAAATGGTCAGTGTGATAAAACCTATGATACAAGGTATAAATTTCTATTCAAAAAAGAAAATTGAACAAATCAATCTCAGCTTATAGGTAATACTTTACTGCTTTAACTGTACACAATTCATATTCTATGTCTCTCAGGTGCAAACTATTCTATCAGTTATATGTAAAAGTAAGTTTTCCATATTTATATTGGAATACTAGATCCACATATAATTAGAATATTGTTCCAGTCATCTTAGACTAGATAATAAACCTATCTTCAATCATTGGTACATATCATGAAACTATTCTCATTTCTAAGTTATCACTACTAATAAAACTTGAATCAAATTTCCTACTGTGTTTGTCACTGACTCCTTGTAATTTAGTTTATGATAATGTTTTCCAAAATGGCTACAGATTTTGGTTACCCCACACAAAAATCAATGTTTAACTGATATTCAGTTTACCAACACAGTCAATTAAAAAAAAAATGAAACTTTTTATAGTCAACCAAGGCCAGCATTTAGCAAATTTAGGTTATGAAAAATAAATAAACAATTAAAAAGGAAGAAAATATCTAGAAAAATAAAGCCCCATTAGAAAAAATATCTTTTAATCAATCCTTTTTATGGCAAGTCATATAAAACATATGATCTACAAATAGTATATAGTCATAGTTCTAACTCAATCTCTTTATTTCAACTACAATCTAAACTAACATTATCAACCTGTATTTTCCTCTACAATGAATTCAATTATTTTACATAGATATTTAGACATTGCAAAACATATTCCATTATAAATCATGACCCATTTTTCTTAGGATAAAGCATATTTAAACACTAGTTTTTTAAATCCAACTATTTCAAAACGAACATGATTCATAAATGATTCAAACAATTTATAACATGTCTCAAAAACATACATGCTTCAATTATCTTTTAAAAAATGGCTTCCTCCCTAAATATGTATTTTTGTGATAAGTAATACAGTTTTGAGAAACAATAATCAAATAAAGTTTAAAAAAAAATGATGAACTTACTTTCACATTGAGATCGAGTTTTCTGCAATGTGACGGTTTGTTTCTTGATAAATTTGACCAAATCTTCTCTTGAAAGAATATCCAACTGAAAAGAAAGTGTTAAAAACAGTAAATATTCATTTATATAAAAAGAATACTTTTTAAGAACAAAATAGAAATCTCAATTAGGCAAAAACAGAAATATTGAGATATATATATATATATATATATATATATATATAAATAAATAAATAAAAGGAAGAGGTTATAGTAGTTCCAATGAGAGAAAAGTGTGTATATTAAAAAGAAGAGAGATACCACAAACGTTTTTGGTTGTAATGTGGATTTTTTTTTTATAAATATTATGCTTTATTTTCCATAATTTTACTACACGAGTTTCTGGTCTTGCGACCATCATCAGGTAAAAAGTGGAGGTTTCCACATATTATTAAAAATAATTTAGTTTTTTTCTCCTTTATGTTTTTCGATGTTAAATATTCTCGATATGAGACATTCTCTTTTTTTGTGTTAGTAATCCGAATGTCTTTCTTGAACTGGCAGTGAAGAGTTCTGCATAAAGGGTCATAAAACAATTAAGATTGATCCAAGAAATGATGAATTAATTATTGGTATCTTATCTTTTAATGTTTTAATGACCCCTGTGTGTTTTTAGATCTATTTCCATTTTCGTGTGTTTCTGTTAGCATGCGTGTATATATGTGTATATTCCTTCTCCATACATACACACTGTCTCACTACAAGGAATTAGTAAACACATTTGTACACATACACACACACCGTCCCACTACAATGAATCAGTACATAGACACATACATACATACACACATACTTCCCAAGTTACATGGAACCAGTATACACACATATATACGTACATACATACACACGTACTTCCTAAGTTGTGTGGGGCTTGTGTGCATGCCTGTGAGTAGTTCCTTGCTTTTGTCAACATGTGTGTGTGTATATATATATATATATATATATTTTGTGCTCCACAGATACCCACATGTGAGCATGCGTGCATGTATGTGAGTGAGTGGTTTGACCACTGTATTTGGTCATCATGTGTGCATGTTGTGTGCTTTTGCATGTGGGGTTATGATCTATTTAGTTCTGGTTTAAATTTGTTTACGAAGTTTTTTCTTGTATTTGAAGGTAAGAATAATTGTCTGTTTGATATATTGGCATGATATTAAATTTACCCTGGTTAAATTTGAAGATGAGTTGTGATACAAAAAGTTTTCTGTTGTCTGGTAATTTTATGTTTCTTTTGTGCAGGGAGACCCTGTTGTTCAGTTGTTGGCTGATACCTATATATGACTTCTTGCATTTTGTGCATTTAAGTACATAAATCACATTTTTGGAGTTGCAGTTTAAGTTTTTATTTATTATGTCATTTTTGGGGTTTTCAAAAGTGTAGGAGTTTCCTTCTATAATGATGTCACAAACCCCACATCTTTTTTTGCTGTCTTTTGTGATTCCCTGTATTGTGTGTTGGTTAAATTTAGATGAGGTTAATATGTATTTTAGTTTTAATAACTAATTCATCATTTCTCGGACCAATCTTAATTGTTTTATGACCCTTCACGCAGAACTCTTCACTGCCAGTTTAAGAAAGACATTCGGATTACTAACACAAAAAAGAAAATGTCTCATATCGAGAATACTTAACATCGAAAAACAAAGGAGAAAAAAATTAATTATTTTTAATAATATGTGGAAATCTCCACCCTTTACCTGATGACGGTCGCAAGATCAGAAACTTGTGTAGTAAAATTATGGAAAATAAAGCATATTTTTTTAAAAAATCCACATTACAACCAAAAACGTTTGCAGTATCTATCTTCTTTTTAATATATATATATATATATATACACACACACACACTTTTATTGTCAATATACAAAATGAGTTCAACAGCCTGTACAACTGTTACAATGATTAATGACTTCCCAAAATTATAAAAACTTTGCTAACATTGACATTTTTGTACTGAAAAAATTATCAAGCTATTACACTGTATAAAATTAAAGTTACAAGTGAACATTTAATCCCCTTCTAGAAATATTATGGACGCCACAATAACAACTCCAAAAGAAAGTAGTTTATGCATACAAGCAATGTAATGGATATACAGCACTTTCCAAGAAATTTAATGTTCCTAGATCAACAATTTAGAGAATTATCAAGAAGTAAATTGAGACTCATTGTGTTGAGAATGAATTAAGGTTGGTTGTTTGTTTGTTTTATTTTATGGCATATCAACCTCAGTTGGTCATTTAATGCCAACAAAATTTTGAAATAGATTCATAGCAATAGTTTGGTAAAAAAGGTGTGTATGCATACGTATATATTTGAACCATTTTTCAATTACTCATATTTTTGAGTACAATCCAACTTCTTTTAAGAAATTTACAATCTTGGATGGTCTTATTTTCATAAAAAGTTTTTTTTAAATTACTCACTTGGTTTTGGTTTGGTTTATTTTATGGCATATCAACCCCAATGGGTTATTTAATGCTGATAAAATCTTTATTGCTGGTAATATTTTGTTTTGTCAAAAATCTATTTCTGGTAATATTTTTCCTTCAAAAATGTATTGCTGGTAATAATTTTTTTCAAAAAAGTATTGCTGGTAATATTTTTTCCTCAAAAATGTATAGCTGGTAATATTTTTTTTCAAAAATGTATTGCTGTTAATATTTATTTTTTAAAAACATTGTTGGTAATATTTTTTCAAAAATATATTGCTGGTAATAGTTTTTTTTTTCTTCAAAAATTTATTGCTAGTAATAAATTTTTACAAAGTATTTCTGGTATTAAAACCTATTTTTACACTTTCGTAGTGTTTTTACCCCAGTTTAGGGGTTAACTATTTGCCCATAGCTGGGACCCTAACAGGTGCTACCACCCTGGGTCAGGGTGGACCTGGGAACATCAGCAATTAAGAGGTAGTTCTGTGCTCCTCAAAACCTCCTGATCAGAGGCCTTGCTGCTGGACATAGTTTATCATCTTACCCAGGACGTAGATGTAGTTTATCATCATACTCAGAATGTGAATGAATTAAGGACTAGCAGAGAATGGTTAATTTCTGAGAGAATGGAAAGGAATATCCTCACTTAATGTAGTTACCTCAAACTAAAATTTTATTTTCAATAGATCTAAAAACACAATTTAATACAGGCATAATGATCTTGACAAACCATAAAAAAAATGGTACCAAATTTATCTTGGTAACTCAATTAGCAAACAGGTTATGACCATTCAAAGTTCATGAAAATTTTCATCACGTGCTATTGGACAAAAAGCCAGTTGTAACGGTGTATAATTGAAGATGCAGGCTTCAAACAAGTTAAAAAATCATTATAAATGTAACGCCATATAGGTAGTCTTTAAGTAAAAGTAAGATAATGCTAATGAAACCAATAATTTTTAGATCAGAGAAGTCTAATCATTGGGGAAATTTTGTTCTCAAAAATAAAATCATAAAAATATGAAACAGAATGGCAAATCATATAAGTTTTATTTCGACAGTTAATGCCTTAGCACAACAGAGATGAAGCTATTTTTTTAGTAGTACCTCACTAAAAAAAACTATTTATACCAAATAAAACTACCAGAAACACAAATTGTCAGTATGGCAAAACAATTGTTTTCTATGTATTTATTTTATTTTATTTACAAATTAGCTTTAGGCTGTTATCTTTCAAGTAAAACAAAATTTAACTTCAATGGAGACATTTAAATAATTCAAAATGTATTTCATAGTTTTCTTCAGTAATTTTGTAGCAGTACTTTATTAAAGTTTTATTTTAATTTTTTAAAGACAAACGAGAATGAGCAAAATTTAAACAGCTAAAAGTATATCTAATTTATCTTTATTTGAAATAATAAAATACATTTTTTTTTTAAGAAAAAAAGAAGAATAGAATTCAAGCCGACAGTTTAGACAATATAAAATATTGTTTTATACAGTTTTAAAATGCATCATTAAAGAAAATATAAGAAAAAGATTTAAACCATAATATCTATCAATGAAACAAATCTGATTTAAAATGGAATTCAGTTGGCAATGTTCATTCAATCAGTCAGCAATACAAATTTCTATACATGGGACCCAACAATTTTGCACAAAATGAACACAGTACATTCTCTTTTTGATTCACATGTGCCACAAGTTGTGTGAGTGCAGAGATATGAAAGCAACTGATTAAAGACAAGATATTGCTCTATAAGGAAGTATAAATTTCATTTTTTTAAGTGTTGAATTTCTTTTATTCCATCCTTTAAGGTTTTCAAATTTTTTGTGCAAAACAACTTTGAACCTTATGATTCACTGACCAAATTGACAAGTGTCATTTTTTCTTTAAGATGGGACTATTTTGATATGTGTAAAGAGACCACTCAGAGCATATCTAATTTGAAAAACACCACTATGAAATTGTCAACTTTGAAAATATGGAAAATCACTATCATTGAAATAAAAACTAAAACTCACATATGTAGGGGAACAAATTTTTCAGAATCATTAATCTTAAATGGAATCTGGGTTTTTTAATGTAATTTTCAAGAATAAATAACAAATTAATTATTTAATTTTTTTTTAATTCTTTCAAAACTTAATAACTGTCTCTCCGATTTTGTTAAACATTTTTACATAATGTGGTCATTTTTTTTTTTCCTTTTAAGACCCGAAAAAGAATTAAGAACAAAAATGTTTACATAAAAAAAAAAACTGGTTCATTGATTTTGAGAATATGTTGGCTCATCTATTTTTAAATATTTTAAAACTTTTCTAAGAAACTCTATGTAGCAAACAGTATGAAAGTTGGAAGGTCACAGCTCGGTCATGGCTATCAAGATCTATTGCTAAAGTGGAAATGAGGAAGACACTAGTTGGTATCAAGATTAGAAGAGGAGAGAGAGAGAAAGAATCAAACCAATATTTTTAACAAATTCATTTCCTTTAAGACCTCACACAATTTACAAGTAAATGATTCTAACAACTTGTAACTTTTTGTTATGAATATGAAAGAAAAATAAATGCTATCACGTGCCTACCATACAATTTAGAAATAAAGAAAAAAGTTTTTTCCAAAAATGCCATTGTATGATCAATTGGTTTGCCTACTCCAAAGCTTACTGTCACACAGTGATTCTCCCAGATTAATAACTGCATCATCTTCAGTGATTCACCATTGTAAAATAAATATAAATTTTGGAATGCAAATAAGAGCAGATGTCCTATTCTGGAACATCTATATGACCTTATTGAGGTCATATGAATGCTGAACGTTCATCATTTTCTATGTATAAACATTTATTCAATAAACAACGTGAAAGTCTTACCCCTGGGAACACCAAGCAACTCACAAGGTTGTATTACAATGGAGATTTAGAGAAGATTAGATATTTCCCAAATTAAGAAATTAGCAATTTTAAATTTTAGCAGTATTTCAACTTGGGGAAAAATGAAATTTCCCAAAAGTAAAAATAGAAAACAGAATTCACCAAAAGTGGAAACAGAATCAAGGAAAATTTGAAATGGAAAAATTGAGGGCCCTACATGAGAAAGAATTATAAGAGAAAAGATTAATTTTTTTGTTTACATACTAATTTTATCAAAATAGCCTCGAATGTAAACAAGATATCAGCTGAAATGAATGGAAATTTCACTACTTTGTAATATGTTCATACTGTAAACTAGGGCAGTTTCGGACACCTACTTAATGGCAAAGGACATTGTCCATGATATACAGACAACAGGTTTGAAGGTCTTAATGAAGAGTCACTAGATGCCTTCCACAAGCAGGAAGTCTTGCATGCCAACCAAGGAAAACAACATGGCTTCAGACTAAACACCTAAAAAGCAGTTTAGCTTATGCTAGAAACCATCTAAAATATAGGAGTGAATATTGGCATAGTGTTTTATGATCAGGTGAACTCCCAATATGTATGGAGCAAATCAAACGACTGTCACAAACCAAAAAATACCCTCCCTACAATTAAGCACAGTGGCAAGAGCATTATGCCTTAGGGATGTTTCACTGCTTCTGGATCGGGAGAACTAGTGAGAGTACAAGGTATCATGGATAAAGAGCAGTATTTGTATATTCTTAAAAATAATATAAAACAAAGTGCACAAAAGCTGTCTTTGAAGTGTCAATGGATGTTCAAGCATGACAATGATCTGAAACACAAGATATGAATTGTTATAAAATACTTAGATAACAGCCAAGTTACTGGTGTAAACCCCATTGAAAATTCATGGGCCTATTTAAATAAAAAAGTAGGAGACAGAAACACTTCAAATTTGGAGTAAGTAGATGTTATTGCAAGGAAAGTATAGAGCAAAATACCTGTCAGTGTGTATAGTGATCTTATAAAGAACTATCAAAAATAATCAAAGGCAATATTCAAGAATAAACGTTACACAATTGATTATTGAGTCAAGAGGGCCTATAATTTTGTCCTATTTTTAAATGTTTGTTTGATGTTTTTTGGTATTACTGTTTGACATTAAAATAAAATTTTGTTGATTCTTACAAATCCATTATTTCATCATTTGTGAAATTTTCATGAAATTTCCATAAAAATTTGAGGGGATTACAGCTCTATTCCTAATTATGGGAGGAGGTGAATAATTCTGACACCTGCCTAAATCTGGTGAGGACTGAATATAAAAATTATAGTTTGGCATAATTCACACATAAATGTTCCATCTTAAATTTAATTGGTATTTTTCATATAATTCTTGCTTAATGAAAAATCTTTGCAAATTTTCCAGTAAAAGTTTACTCTCAGTGGAAATTTGGAACATTATTGGGCCCTGGGTAATGCTATGTTTTACCAGAAAACCTGCAAAAGACATGAAGAATGGGCAGTTCAAGTATTCAAATAGCTGGTTACTTTCCAGACCTCCTAATTCTTACACTGTCAATTACCACTTCTCTTTGATTACAGCCTGCACATTTTCTGATATTCTGTTTGTAAAAAGCCTTCCAGAATATGATACACTTTCAATAGATTCCCCAACCAAGTTTTAAGCAAAAATTTTATCCTGGCTTCACTCATTGACTTTATCACTAAAATGCCTAAGTTTCAAGTTTCCTATGAATGTGATGGCCACACAGTACAGAAGGTCACTTAAGCCCACAGGAGCATGATCAGTAAGGTCTTCTCTGGTTGATTGGTTGCAAAATTACATCAAGGTCACAAAACCAGTTTTTCTGATATTCAGATTAGCTGGTACTTCCAAGTAGATAGACCTTTCTATGTACCAAGATATTGTCTTGTGGAATGGAATCATACTAAAAAATATGGAATTATTAATGTATTAAGTTTTAAACAAAATGAATGAGAAACAGAATAAATACCTTTGAAACTGGACTTTTACCAGAATCAGAGCCAGGGGAACTGACCTCAGCTTCCTGAAAGAAAATACATACAATGTTAATTAGACAAAATAAGAATTAGTTAAAATTTAACTAAAAATATTAAATCAATAAACATAATCCAAGATCAAATCAAGTTAATTTAACTCCCAATGTGTTTGTTTAAAATCTATACTATTATGAATATATGTTTTATAAATGTACTATGCATTGGCATATTTTTTTTACTACATTTATTTAAAAATATATCCATATCCTTCTAAAATATACTTTTTACATGTATAGTTTAATAGCAGATTATGATGTCATACAAGTTTAAAACCTGACAAAAGCTCTTTCCCAAGTAACAAACAAAATCTATAATACTCCAAATCATCTCACAATATTAATAAACATTTTTAAATATAGTACATTAGGAATTCAATGTACCCTTGTGAAAATAACTTTACATCATAAAATCTTGATTACATGAGCAAGCTAAGATATGGTGAGCATATGATAATTGAAGATGCATCATAGGTACTCTTAAAAGGTATAAATAACAAGACACTTCTTTATGAAAAAATAATTTTAATTTTTCTATTACAGAATGACCAACCTGCAACAAAAATATCAATGAATGTCAATGGAAGAAACTATTTTAGATAAATTTCACTATTTCAAAACTGTTCATAAAAGAAATCAGAAGAGCTGCAAACAGGTAAGGCAAAGTTGCTCATATTCTACTTAGAAGTAAAGCTGTACAATTCTTTTTGATGTGCCAATCCTGTTAGCAGGTAGATCCATGTTTTACACAAAGATAATAATGGTCGTATACACATCCAACAGAACTTTATTAGTGTCTCAATCCATTTTCATACAAACACAAAAAGGTGTCAAATTATTTACAGCCATTAGATTTACCTTATTTTAAAGAACATAGCAAAGTACCATATAAAATATTGTTTCAAACTATTTTACAGACTCTGAAATTGAAATACATACTCTTATCAATTTACCAATACTTTGGTGATTAAGCACTAGAGCATTTTACAATTAAAATGGTATTCCATGTTCAACAGGTTAAATCTCCAGTACTCTCTACATTGTTTTTGCAAACTTCAGCATTGCCATTACTTATACTGTCTCATATCTGTCCTTTTGAGAACCTCACAAAGATGTTAGCTAATAAAAGTCTATCACATGATCTAGAACAGCCATACTCACTATTTAACCAATTATTCTTTACTGGTTATCTTAATTAGATCCAGATGTTGATGGTGTGAATAGAGTGATCCATTTGTGTTTCAAAGTAAAATGTAATATAGTTTTACCTATTCTCAAAGACAGTTTCTGGTTTCTACTCATTCCATTTCTTTACCAAATTCCAAATGACTTACTGTTTTCAATCAGGTTTATATTTTCATTGCTACATTCACTAATATTGTACATGACTTTTTCATCTAATCTCCACATATCACTATTTCCTGGAGTCCTACCCATTTCTGCAGAGATGGTCGATTACCACTGATTGCTTCTTGTTCTGTGTTCAGATATTCTGTGTGCAACTGTATTTTGCTAATCTTAATTTATTTTATCTCATTTCTTCCAGGTGCCTGTTTATCTTTGACTTCTATTTTTTTAATCAAATTTTCTTGTTTTTCTTTTGTCAAATATTTTGTAATGTCTTATCAAAATAAATCTAAGCTGTAATTATAAAATAGAAAAATGAAAATTTTAAGTACAAGTTTTTACTATATTTTAAAAAAAAATGATCTTGAGAAAACTAATTTACAAAAATTCAAAATGCAACTAATAAAAATGTTAGATTAGTCTCTATATTGTTATAAAGAAACTAAAGTACAAGTTTTTTAAAGGAACAACTGACTATTTTAAAAATATTCCAATTCAGATATCTAGTGCACATTTAAAAATAATATTCGTAAAACAAAAAGTTTAATTTGATTTTACTACCTGAACATTAAAAAGAACTGATTTTTTTTTATTAAAGTTTAAGGAATTATGATTGTGATAGCTTGATAAGATTTTTCATATTATAGTGGATAAAGACTTAGACAAATGTTAATTATTATTTTTTTTATCATTTCATCCCAAGCAAGATGACAATGCCACTAAGATATGTTATACTCCATTGCAATTAGATCTCATTCTGCTTCATCCTGCATGCTGGTTGGATATGACTGCCACGAAGGCAGAAGACAAAATAACTAAAGTCATTTTAATCACATTGGGCTCCATGCATCACATCCAGTCTACAAAGCGAACTCTGGCGGTGGCCAATCGCAAACATTAAAAGAGACTGGCATTGGGATTACCAGACATGCTTAAAAGCAGGCTCTGAAGATGACCAAATACAGTTGTGGCTCAGCCGCCAGCCATCATGCATGACACTGTTGCTACTGCCACCATGACAACAGAGTTGCAGACTGGCCACTACACAAAACACTATTCCTGCCACTGTTGCCGCCTTTACCACCACTACTCAACCTGACCACACATTTCAACAACCATTACCACTTCCTGGCTTGACATACCACCTCAACTATCCAGTTTCGACTCAACCTCGATCCCTCCCAGCTACAAGTCTTCATCAATATCAACTCACAAGATCACCTCAGCTTACTTGTTTACAAGGCATTCCCTTCAGTCGACACCAGTGACATCCACTTCACAGAACAGCTCTACCTTGACTCGTTTACAAGGCATTCCCTCCAGAGTCAATACAGCTACCTCCATTCAACAAAACTGGCCTCCCAACACCAGACATCACCTCAGCCTACATTGACTTGTTTGAAAAGCATTCCGGTTACAGTCAACGCTAGCGATCTCTGTCCCACAGAACTGACCTCCCAATACCCATCATAATTTCAGCCTACCTAAACTCATTTACAAGGTATTTCCTTCACAATCCACACCAGTGACATCTGCTCCACAGAACAGGCCTACCTCAACATGTTTCCAAGGTATTCCCTTCACAGCGGTCTCTGTTCCACAAAACAGGTCTACCAAGACCACACCAATCCGATGTCACCCTGTTCCAACACAACAGGGTTGACCAACCGACAAAACGACTCAAACATGACCTTCATCAACTAAATGTGCATCAACATAAGAACATGCACACCGGCATAAGAAATGGTTCAACTCCCAACACTACACTTACACCAGATTGCCATTCCTGTACACTCTACCAACAATAAACATCGTTTCACTCTAATTCTCATTATTCATTTCTCTTGCTACCATACACTTAATATAACAGATGCAAGGGGCTACTAAGAGTGAAAAAGAATGAAATGACTTTAGAAAAAACCAGAAACTCAATCCTAAACAGGAAACAAAGAAATATGCCCATATATTCAATTAACTTGCAAATTGGACAAATTATGAACAAATAATAGAATCAATGATGAAAAATTAATTACAGTATCATGCAAAAGTCTTTAGCCACTTTAAATTGCTGCAAATTTCTAATAATTTCCAGTTTATATATTTCACATAAAATCTTCTACAGGTGAACTACTGGCCATATTGGAGTAGTTTCCAGACCTAATTATCATGTTTTATAAATGTTCTGAATGAGAGGGGAAGACACAATATAATTCTCTAAAATGACAATGAAAATATTTTTGGCTACCTCATACACCAGATACAACATTTCATAACAAGAAAATGTGTATAATGAAAATTTATTACATAATGTTCGCTTCAAGAAATTACTGTACTTGTTAATATTTCATGTTGTTCCCTTTATCTTGAATAATTGCTTCAGTATGCCCAGGAAGGAATGCATACAAATCCTTTATATTTACGTATGAGAGATAGGTGCAACATTTGGATGACAGCAACTGTTAGCAAATCTATAAAGAACAACAGTGTAAAGTGAATTAGACTCCTTGGAATTGATCCCTCACCTGGTAGGCAAGGAGAGAGATGGTGAAATAGTTGGAAAATTTGGACTAGGAACACATAATGAAGACAGAGAAAAATGGCAAATGATCAGATAGTAGCCAACACCTGGTTTCAAGAACACCCAAGAAGCCTAGAATGAGAAATGAAGAACCAAATCAGTTAAATAACTATCAATAAGAGATTCAGGAATGCAGCTTTACACTACAAAATATACCCAAGTGCCTACTACAGCAGCAACCACTTTCCAGTAATATGTAAACAGAATGGAATTATGCAAATTGAAGAGTGTCAAGGTAGCACCCAAATTACAATACATCAGATTTCTGAATGACCTAAATGTGAAGGAGAAATAAATGGATACTGTTATAAACAGATACAATGGACAAAATGAGAATGGAAACTCAACACATTAAGAGACACTTTAGTAACATCAGCAATCGAGATAATCCCAAAGAAAAATAAACAAAGAAAAAATGAATGGATGACAGATAAAATCCTTGAGATAATGAAAAGGAGACAAAAAAAATGTAAAGTATGGCACAGAGTATAGGAGATTACACAAAGAAATTAGGAACAAATGCAGGCAGGCTAAAGAGGAATGGTCTAACAAAAATTGTGCAGAAATAGAAAGAATGAGTATTACAGATGAAGCATATATGTAAAAAAGAAAAAGAGAACTAACAGGACAAAAGACATGCTTATCAACAGGACACAAAAAATCCAAGGACTGGACATTGATATTAGAGAAAGAAAAATACTTTAGAGATGCAAAGAATACATGCAGTAATACACATAAATATTTAAATCTGAAATAGAATTAGTAGAATTAGCACTGGCCAAATTAAACAGAAACCTAACAGCAAGATCAGAAGGAAATGTAATAGAGATGCTGATAGCCTTAGATGATTTCAGCAATGACAAGATTATAGACATAATAAATGAAATTAAGTGCAAAAGAATGAACTCCATCAGACAATCAGCCTAATGAGCCATATAACAAAATTTATTATCTCAATTCTGATGAACAGAATATGCAGTAGAATTAAACTGGAAATAGGACAAGATCAGTGCAGGTTCATTAAATACAAGACAGTGAAGGAAAGCAAGTAGAAAGGACTAAACAC